AGCGCAGAAGTGGAATATAAACACCCTGAGCGGATGACTTGTGTGAAATATATATATATATTCCACATGATCACAAGACAGTGAACACCTTGAACACACTCTGCCCGTCTCACTGCACTTGATGGGTTCAGGGAGGACTTTAGGCGATGGAAAACACCATTATAGATGCGCTAGAATCAATAGAGCGGTGGATGATGAACTGATTGTGGCAACATTTCTATTTTCGGGTGCACTGCAGCCAATTCATTTTGTATTCTGGAAAAATACAATTATTTTATTTACAAATACAAATACCGTATATATGTGAATGACCTGCTAGGTAGTATACACTCTTAGAAGAAAAGGTTCTATATAGAACCTTAAAAGGTTCTATCAGCGCTGTTGTTTGGCTGTTGTAGACTGTAAGGACCTTTGACAATACTGAAATCGTGTGGCGTAGTGATATATGTAACTGTAATGCGGTCGAGACCTGCCTGGAACTACTTTAGCCGCGCGTTTCCCTGAAAATAATTGCGCATCTTAGAACGTTTGTCAACCAATCAGATTCAAGCTTCCAACAGCCTCATAGTATACATTTGAATAATCTTTTTTTTGTGATTTGTTTTACCGTCAGCATTTTTACATGCACTATTTTTGGTCAAACGGAATTTCAGAATCATAAAGTTCGGTTTATACGAACCCTAAACATTGAAATCCATTGGATTACATATATATCGAACAGAACCAGAGATACCACAAATATAAATTGTGTTTTGGCCTTGATTTATTGAATTGAAGCTGAAATTTATTACAAAATCTCTTTTATTCCTCTTCAGGTCTACAGCACCCCTTTCATCCCAGTCAAACTTTAATTTTGATTTGATTGAGGCGTTTACACGAAGGCTTTTCAGTCTGATTGAGCCATTATGATAGTCATAATAAAGGATTATGGGTGCATGTATACGTTGTAGGCATGTGCCGGTATCAAATTTTCACGCTGCGGTTAATTGACTGAGCTTTTATCACGGTATATGGTATTATCCCAATATTTTAATGATCACAATATTAAAAAACAGATGCATTGTGGGTATCTAAAAAAAACAACAACTTGCATCACAATGTGTAATTGTGATTTTCAAAACATATGGTACCTAAACAGACTTGTTTAAAGTTTAGTGACAACATGTTACAATGTTTACATGGTACAATGACTGGTAGGATACTTTTTGTATTATTCAATTAAATTCTTGGATTTGATTTCAGTCTTAATTCAATATTGACTCATTTGGATAAAAATTAGGTAGGCTACAGTCTGCATGTTAATGTTTCTCAAGAAAAAAATATATCACATAATGCTATAAGCTAATATGCGTTCGAAAAGTTTAAATTCGAATCTATTATTTTTCACGGTATTTTGAAGAGCCCGCAATAACAATATCGTGCATATTCATTACCGCGATATACCGAATACCGGCACATGTCTAATACGTTGGTTACTGTCATATTCAGATTCAGAGACCAGAATATCATAAAGATGTTTTTATTTTTTTTTGACTTGGCAACCACCTAACACCATCATTAAGATCAAAATCATTTGAAACCACCCTTTCTTTTTTTACTTTTTTTCCGTTTAGGTGTTGTTACACCTCTTATTTTCAGTGCTTCGTCAAATGCACCACCAGCACATCTTATTTTGCACCTTATCTTCCTTCGTTGCACTGTTAGATTAGCTCCAGAAACAGTGTCACGGTCTTCATTCACAATCTCTTAATCACCGTCATGCCTCATCATCATCATCTTAATCGGCAGAACTCCTCATAGTCTGTTTATGTAATGAAGGTCTTCTTGAGTTTGTCTCTCTGTAGAAGTGTGTTTGACACTAGCAGCGTCCCCTGTTGTTTAGTATCTCACTGCTTGTGTGTGTGTGGGAGACTGCACGTGTTGTCAAGGCAACGCTCGGCTGTGCTGTCAGTGCTTTCTTTGGTTTACAGTCGTCTCCTCAAAAATGAAATAGGACAAAGAAAAGCTGTTTATTAGTAATAGTTCAAGATAGTTTTCTATTCAAGTATTTTTTGCTATGAACCTAGTTGTTTTAATTTGTCTACTAACAGTGTTCTTAAAGGGATAGTTCACTTTGAAATTAATTTTTGGTATGTTTTGTCTTACCTCAAGGGCATCCAAGATGCAGGTGTCTTTGTTTCCGCAGTATTTTCAATTTTGTCATTTTTCGGTCAAACCGTTGTTGTCTGTCAGTCATTAAATGGAGGTCTATGGTCACCACCTCAAAGAGCATGCACAGAGAAGTCCAGATTAAACATGATTTAATGACTCGTAAATGTAAGTACACATTGATGGCCTAAGACACGAAACGAGCGGTTTGTGTGAGAAAACGAACAGTATTTATATAGTTTTACCTCGTCCAACTGAACCGATCTCTCGCGCGTCTTTCACGCACTGTTTACACGGAGATTTCGGAAGTTTTACCCTTCACTAAACATATTTAGATATACGGGAAATTGCAATACGACGTGTCTCAGGCCATCAATGTGTACTTACATTTACGAGTCATTAAATCATGTTTAATTTGGACTTCTCTGTGCATGCTCTTTAAGGTGGTGACCATATACCTGCATTATATGACTGACAGACAACAACGGTTTGACCGAAAAATGTAAAAATTGAAAATACTGTGGAAACAAAGACATCTACATCTTGGATGCCCTTGAGGTAAGATAAAACATGCCAAAAATTAATTTCAAAGTGAACAATCCCTTTAAATAAAACTCAAAACTATCGTATGGATTTATATCTGAAGGGTGTCTGGACACATATTGTGATCAAGTATTTCATTATTTTTTTCATAATAGTCTTTCAAATTATATTTGTTTCTGGATTTTCTTTTTTGTTTATAATGTTTTTGTTTTTGTTGTTTGTTTAATTATCACTATTGAATCTTGATTGGATTATGCAGTGAGTTCATTTCATGTATGGTTTAGCAGGCCCTGGTTTGGTTGGCCATGTGATCAATGTAATCATGTGACTTTTGTATATTAAGATGGCTCCTGCACTACACACAAGCATAGACAGTAAAAGATATGGACAGAGCGACCCCATTGATTTCAAGGGAGAAGACTGAAGCCTGATTTTTGCACTTCCTGTCTGACGTCTGAGCGACTGTGCAGGCTCAAACTGAGCGTAACCACAGTCTGACAGTTGTAAATCTTCTAGTAGCTGTGCCACGACAAATCTGAATCACCTAATTCCTCAAAAACGTTGTTGAAATATTTTGTCCCGTTGCTTTTATGAACTCTATCTATGGGCTTCTCCCTCGACTTTATGCCTTCATGTCCCCCCGATCGCCTCATAGTAGTGTTGTCAAAAAACTCGGTACTTCGGTACCAAGTCGGTACAAAAAAAAAAAAAAATGTTACGGTACCAGCTTTTCTAGGTACCACCAGGTTAATCCAGTTCTGTTCTAGACGCGATGTCTGAAACGTGCACAGTTGCGTCCTCTTTAACGCTGATATGGCTCTCTCTCTCTGAATCCACTTGTTGAAACGAAAGGAGGAAAGAGCCACATATGGAAATATTTAATGTCACGTTGCCATAAGAGGCCGATTACATGCAAATTCGCAATTTCAAATATAGGCGCGATTCAAGCGCGCTCCTAATAAAAACTGCATAGCAACGACAGACGCCGCGTGAGAGCAAGCGCTTTGGAAAGAATAAGCACGCGCAAAAATATAATTAAAAAACACGCGCGACATGTGAACGGCCTCTAAAGTGCTTTCGGGGTAGTTTTACGAGTACATGAGCACAGTAGTATCTACCCGACACCAGAGTACTATGGTATTAGTATTGTCATTTAATGTCAGTGCCAGTACTAGGCGTATTCTTGCCTTTATAACTCAGCAGGTTTAAAAAGCCTTTTTAAAATTAAATATGAATGCAGTTTTAGATTAAATAAAAGGACAGTCAAGTCAAATAAAACATGTTTTATGGTAATGCTACAAAGATACCATTCATCAACATTACTTAGTTATCAACACATTGAGTGAACAATATATTTTTACAAATGTTTGAAAATGTTATTTATTACAAACACCTGATTGTTCATGTTTGTTCACTTAATTCATTGTGCATTAAATAAATAATGGATTAAAACTTTACAAACAACTTTAAAAATGTGTTAGTGTATACTATTGTTTATTTTAGGTCATTTTATCTAATCTTTTTCTAAAGTGTTTATAATACAAATGTACAGTTTCCATACTTGTAACCGTGATAAACACTTAAATATATGTAGATTTAAACTAAGCTTTGGTACCGAAATTGGTACCGAGAACCGTGAATTTTAACTGGTATTGGTACCGAATACTTAAAATTTTGGTACAGTGACAACACTACCTCATAGACAGTAAAAGATTGCCTGCGAGCTTCTCCTCCTGTCTATACGGTAATGTCTCTATTGTGCGACAGAATGTCCCGTGGTTATGACGCAATCGTTAGCTCATTTTTACAAAAATGGCTTCTACGGTGCCGTAACGTAAGATACAAAGTAATGAAGCGTTTTATACATTGTCGTGTTTCTTTAGAAATAAACAATGGACAAATGAAGTCTTTGGACGCCTCAGATGTAAAGTTATTCGCTGTCAAAGTGACGCCAAAATGAATGGGAGTCAATGGGATGCTAATGCTAACAGTCTGCTACAATGGCGGCTCCCATGAGGCTTCAACTTCCGGCTGATGGATTACGCTTGCACACAAGGGTAGACATCCATAGACACGCTGCCGTAGGCATCAGTGTTTTCATCCAAACTTTTATCGCAGTACTTCCATGATCATTTGAATTACGAAAGAAATAATGTGTGTTTTAAAAGACTGTCTGTGAAGAGGGTGACAGTTCTCTCTGGGTCAAACACAGATCTGAAATCTGTCATTTAGTCGTGCATCTCTAGTCTACAGTGTACCGTTGCTGTAAAAATCCTAATGGAAATTTGTGTTCCCATTTACACCCACAGGTTTTCTGACTCCAAGGATAATGAGGAAAAGACGGAACTGGAAATGACAGTGTAACTTGACGTGATGGATAATAATAAAAGTGTTTGAGGAACCTCTACATCTGACCCAATGGCAAAGAAAGGCCGCGCCAAGGGCGAGAAGCCTGAAGCCCTCATCTCAGCCTTACAGGCGGCCAATGAAGATCTCAGGTCCAAATTAACCGATATTCAAATTGAACTGCATCAGGAAAAATGCAAGGTGGGTAAATAGTGAATCTGAAACCCTTCATACTCTTTGCCAAAATGTAAAAATGCCATTTTAAACCAGTGCATGTCTTGGATCTCTTTCAGTAACAGATTTAAAGAGTGCTTGAAAACCATATTTGAGGAAAAGTACAGTTATCTTACAGCGAAAATGACATGTTGCAAGTTGTCAATTTCAATACGACTTTAACCCTTGTGCATCCTTGTGGACATTTTTGTCCTTTTCAGTTTTGTTTTTTTGATCACTTTGCCAGTGTTAAAGCTAACACAGGTGTGTGTTTTTATTGGAATTTTCACTATTTCACCACCTTTTTAAAAAAAATATATTTTTTGCATTAGGTACAAAAAATACTCCCTCTCAGCCCCTTTTGGACAAAAATGTCCCCATTGAAACCCATTAAAACTGCCACTTTTAATCGCCGGTTCAGTTAACTATAAAATTATGCAATCTTTGTTAAGAGGCTTTCACTCTGATGGCAAGGCTTCAAAATATAATTTTTTACTATTTTTTATCAGATGGTGTAATTTTTTTTAAGTTTGGCCTATAAAACAAATGTCGCTTTATTTCTGTTTTCTGGTTCGGCATACTATAGAGCCAACTGGATAAATTATGCAACGATATTTGTGTGGGTGTGTTGGTATGGATGTCAGAGTGTGGTTAGTATGTGTGTTATAAAAAAATATGTGTGTGTGCAAATGTGTGTGTTTGTAATACTGAGAGAGAAAAACTGCAAATTCAAATCCAATCACTGTGAGCTCCCGTGGGGTTTTGCTGCCACCCAATGGGGAAAATATGTTACTACGCCCAAACAAACTGTTACCGAAATCTCATTTTTTTGAGATATCATTCTCAAATTTGGAACACAACCTATTTAGATTTATGGCTTTGATTTTATTGTAGTTTTGAGTTCAACCTGATTTAAAAAAAAAATATTTTATATAAAATATTATTTTATAAATAATTTTCATAAACTTATACCTATATAACTTTTTTTTTGATTTAATTATTATTATTTTTTTACTTCAGCAATAATCTGCAAAGGGTCTTCTTTAAAATGATACCAAACTTAAGTCTGTGCTCCAAAGCGTCACATTTTTATGACAGTTTTTTGACATGGACATTTTTGTCCTCTTTTTACCTATGTGTAACTTTTTTTAATTGATGCACAAGGGTTAAAGTATCTGATTTTAAAGCAACACTAACTAATATTTTTTACCTTAAAAGTAATGTTTTTAAAATCGTTTCAGTGGTTCATCAACATGACATGACGTCGTGACATGGTCAAATGCACTTATGCCACCGCTTTGCTGTCCTTTTGAATTGTCAACATGCCGGTGCCGGATAAAGAGACAGCATGTGTGTGTGCGTGTGCGTCCGACAGTAGGATGCGGTAGGCTAAATTATTTATGGACAATTCCTCTTCCAACCTGTAGGGCGACCGCAGAGGAAAAGTCACTTAGGCTGTGTCCGTTCGACTGTCCTACACAGTTCATAAACACACCTGCCTTTAATTTCCAAGTGACCCTGAACAGAGAATGTCTAATTGAAGAGAATTGGCACTGGCTGGTTTCTTCCGGGTTCTGGACTGGCTGCAGTAACGCGTCTCTGTCCATGCGGGGGCGCTCGCGGTCGAGTGCAAAATGAATGGGAGTCAATGGGGTTTCACCCCCAGAAATCCACTTTTCTCAAGATGTAATTTTTTGTCAAGTAATTTGAAAGTTGCATTCAAAAGGGAGGGTTAAGATAATACACTCAGCTGAAAATTGCATTTTTAAGTTCACTTATCTGTTCTAAAAATCCAAAAATGTGATGACGTCACACAATAGCAGAATGCTAGCGTGTTCCGGCCAACAACGGCCTAACCTGTAAGAAATCAAAAGGACATAAGTACTCGTTCATTCGACTTTTGGCCTATAGTCTATATTGAACTTGCGGAATCAACAATAAAATCTATTTTGATTTAACGACAAGCAGGTGAAAGAGACGCATTTAGCCGTTTAGCCCCATAGACTCCCATTCATTCTGCTCTCGCCTGCGATCACCTCCAGTGGAATTCTAATGGAACTGCAACCAGGATGATACACAATAGGGCTAATAATAGGAAGTGCCAAGGCTCTCCGTTAGACGGGCTCTGCCCTGAAGACCTTAATTGGTTGCTTCAGGTGTGTTTGATTAGCAGTGTTGTAGTACTCGAGACTCGGACTCGTCTCGGACTCGGTCTCGAGACCATATTTTAATGGTCTTGGTCTTGTCATGGACTCGTGTGCATTTGGACTCGGAATTGACTCGTACTCGAACATTTTTTTTTTTAGGACTCGGACTTATTCCCGAGTCCACTCGAGTTCAATTCAAAATATTTTTCATGATTATTAATGTATGTTAATAAAATATTTCTTTAAGTTGATTGACACGCCCAGTGATTGGTGATTTTCTAGTGCGCAACAAATTGTAATAAAATTACTTTTAACACCACCTACTATGTGGCCTTTTTACCCTAAACTGATCATATTTTTTAAACTCTAAGTAAATTCAGTAAAATAAAAAAAGGATTTCTCTAAGTAAATAAAAGTAAATTAGGTAATCAACCCTCACTGGTCTCGGTCTCGACTCGGACTCGACCGTCTCTGGTCTCGGACTCGACTTGGACTCGAGTGAGGTGGTCTCGACTACAACACTGTTGATTAGGGTTGGAGATAAACTGTGTAGGACAGTCGATCAACAGGAGCAGGGTTGGGCACACCTGATTTAAAGGGACCGCTTCTGCTACACTATGCTGGGTTCCGTATATTTCCAGTCGAAACATATATCAGCTGAATACATATTACCAAAAGCATTCATGAAGTAATTTTTGCAGGTGACCAAACTGGAGCGAGAGAAGGTGCAGGAAGGCAAGCGCATCCGCGAGCAGGAGCAGCATCGGCACACTGTGGCGTTGACAGAGCAACGGGCCCGCTGGCACGAGGAAAAGCTGAAGGAACTCGCCGCGCTGAGGGAATCGCTAACTCGGCAGCACGAGCAGGAAATATCTCGCACGGCGAAGATTAAAGAGGGCGAGATCCAGCGCTTACGGACTGCACTCAGTGCACTGCGCGATGGCAGTGGGGAGAAAGTGCGCACGGCGCTGACGCTGGAGGCCAGAGAAGAAGCCCGGCGATTCTTCGACCAGGAGCGCGTGAAGCTACTGCAGGAAATAGCAGAGCTAAAGTCGAACAAACGGCAGGCCGACGAAGCGCTTAGCACTATGATTATAGCCGACAAGATGAAGGCAGGCGACCTGCGCTCTGAATATCAAGCGCACCAAGAGCAAATCACCAAGATCAAGTGGGACTCTGAGCGAGATATTCGTCGATTGGTAAGCTGTCATTCGTATTCTTAAGGTAGAAATGTCGAATAACTTATGTGGTCCAATGCTGGTGTTAAGATGTGTTTTGGTCGATTGGATCACGAGTGTACGACACTAAACACGGGTGTAAACGGGTCTAAAGCGCTTTGAGCTCGTCCACTTCCAGTTGAAAACAAATTCGAGCGGATTGCTGTCGTAGTGTAAACGCTCATGTGTTCAAACAGCCACTAAAAGACCGTCTCCTGATAATGACTGAACATTATAGAGATCTAGCCAGACGGGGTTTGAACTTTATCAGCTGAAGACACAAGTTTGGTTTGAAGAGGGAAATCATACCAAACACAATGTTCTCTCAGCGTTCCTAATTGCGTGAGCTAATTTAGTCCATTAGATCGAAAGATTTGGAAAAAAAATAAACCCCATAGCCTACTACATTTACCCATCTGACTTGAAGAAATCAGGACAGAAGTGGTTAAAAGTGGACAAAAGAGGCGGATTAAACCACCAGATAAACGGGAATGTGTCTCCCTCGTCTACTGTGATCCGATCCACCAAAACGCATCTTAAAGGGTTAGTTCACCCAAAAATGAAAATTAAGTCATTAATTACTCACCCCCATGCTGTTCCAACCCCGTAAGACCTTCGTTCATCTTCGGAACACAAATAAAGATATTTTTGATTGAATCTGAGAGCTGTATCACTCTTCCATTGGCTTCCTAAGGGACTGGCTCTTGACGGCCCATAAAGTCATTAAAGAAAATGTTTAAATATTCCATGTGCCTACAGCGGCTCAATTATAAGTTTATCAAGCGACGAGACTACTTTTTGTGCGAAAAAAACATAAATAACGACTTAATTCGACTATTCTATTACTTCCTTATGGGCGCAACGCAGGAGAACTGAGACGAGGACGTTCTCATTCGTCTACTTCTTGTTACCGGCTGCTCACCGCTTAGGAGTTTTACCGCCCCCTACCGTATAAGATGATGTGCTGATATAGCTGGAAGCGCAAAACTTTCTGTTTACAAGCAGAGGAAGATGCGCGCTGTGCACTTAAAAGCCTTTAATCTTCTTAAAAAATGACAGTGTTCCTTATAAACCGGAGCGCCTTATCCACAAGTTTCCGAGGGGCGCTCCTGTAAAAAATAAAGTGGGTGAAACTTCCGGTGACGCGGCGGAAGTAGCATTCCAATGGTATTTTGTGGGTTAGTTAGCGAAGAGGCTAGCTGTTTTTCGGAGAATTATTTGACTATTTAAAGACGCAAATCTTTATGAGAGATGTCGTTACAGAGCTCAGGGACAACATGTGCTGTTCGCGGTTGTATGTATAACCGGATTAAACTAGTTCAGTGGCTTAAACGTGATTGTTTTAAACATAGGCCTAAGCTGAAAACGAAATCACAGTGATCCTGCCAGAGCCCGTCTCTGATCCTGCCAACGACTGTAGTTTCCATCACCTCCCAAAAGACGACGAATCTTCCTGTGTACATTTGTTTAAATTCTTAATATTCTATAAACTCTATCAGCATGTGTTTGGCTGTTCGCTACTGATGTTACACCTAAACTCAGGATCAAAGCCTGTGTTGACAGAATACCAAATGTGCCAGTTAATGTATTCCAGTAGCACATTCATTTATAATTTTATAATAAACTCCAAAGCACAATGACTAAGTGTGTATTTTTTATTTTAATTGTTTGTCAGCTCGCACAACTGTCTGTCACCATGCCTTGATGAGTATTGATTATTAATAATGTTATTATAATACACTGCGGAGGGTAAAGGTACTTTTATTTCACCCTTTTGAATTTCGTTGAGGTTGTGTTCCCACATCGTTAGCTAGTTTGGATCGCTATCACTTGAATGACTGTCAACTGTTGAATGAACGAGTATCAAGCATGTCAAGTCTCGCTTTGTTTACTTCCAACCGGAAGTCGCGCCCACTTTTGACGCAAGGCCTCATGGGGCGTAGGAAACTTGTGGATATATGGATCATCATTTTATACGGTAGGTGGCGGTAAAACTCCTAAGCGGTGAGCAGCCGGTAACAAGAAGTAGACGAATGAGAACGTCCTTGTCTCAGTTCTCGCGCATGCGCCCATAAGGAAGTAATAGAATAGTCGAATTAAGTCGTTATTTCTGTTTTTTTTCGCACAAAAAGTAGTCTCGTCGCTTGATAAACGTATAATTGAGCCGCTGTAGGCACATGGAATATTTAAACCTTTTCTTTAATGACTTTATGGGCCGTCAAGAGCCAGTCCCTTAGGCAGGCTATGGTCTCAGATTCAATCAAAAATATCTTAATTTGTGTTCCGAAGACGAACGAAGGTCTTACGGGGTTGGAACAGCATGGGGGTGAGTAATTAATGACTTAATTTTCATTTTTGGGTGAACTAACCCTTTAATACCAGCTGTAAACCGGGCCAATGATTTCATATCATGCTTCCAGTATTATAGGTCTAGACAATCCCTGACCCCTTGTGCTAACCCAGTGTGACCCTTGTCAAACTGTCCAGGTGGATGAGATCAAGGCCAAAGACAGAACAATCTTCTCGCTGGAGAAAGAGCTGGAGACGGCGACTGGTTTCGTGCAGAAGTTGCAGCTACAGAAGGATGCACTCGATGAGCAGCTGTTTCTGGTGAAAGAGGCAGAATGCAGCCTGGGAAGCCCAAAGAGAGAGATCCCCGGCCGCGCCGGCGATGGAGCGGAGCACTGCGGGAGTCCGGTAAAGAAACTAGATTTGGACATTTGTCAGATTTACAAATGCACATGCGCATACACACTCTTGTACTGCAAGTCATTGCAGTCTTAAAGGACAACTCCGGCGCAAAATGAATTACACATTGTAACCGTTATATGTGTTTCTAGGACATGAGAAGAAACCAGAAACGCATGAGTGAACTTAAATCCACCATTCGTAAACTGGAGGACCGCAACTCAATCTTAGTGGATGAAAGAAATGAGCTGGTATGTTTCGCTTGATTTTTTTCCTTCATACTTGATGTCGGAGCATCATCATCATCATTATTATTATTGTATTATTGTTATTAATTTTAAAGCTGTGCCAACTGTGGAATTATTGTTTGGTTGCACAGGATCTTTTATGTGTGGTATTGGAAACATTTCTATTGTTTAAGAATATTTGGCCCTGGTTTTCTGCTCTCAGCTGAAGCGTGTTCGGGAAACAGAGAAACAGTGTAAACCATTACTGGAGAGGAACAAAATATTAAGTAAGAAAAATGACGACCTCAGCCAGTCGCTCCAGAGGATGGAGGATAAACTGAAATCCACAACCAAGGAGAACATGGAGATGGTGGGTTCCTCCTCTTCTGTCCAACACTGTATAATCTGCATTTTAAAGGGGCAGTTCTAGTGTGTCATTAAATGAACTGCGTTTGACTCATGTGTCAGTGCATTACCGCATGCTAACAACAAAGCACAATGTTGTTCTTAAACGTCCATAAGTTTTAATCTCACTGCAAACATTGACACTTTGAGTAGACGCTGACAGCTCAATGTTATTTTCTGTATTTACTGAACTACTGTATGAATGCATGTTCTTCACATGTGCATTCTGCATGTTGCTGTCATGCTGAAGATTTTAAGATCACATAATCACGTGCATTTTTACAGTGCTCAGCACTATATAATCACTTGTGTTCTTACCTGAGATACGTTTAACTACTACCATTCCAAAGTATATTATTTTCATGTTTTTTTTTTTTAATCTCCAATGCTCATCAAGGTTGCATTTAGGCTATTTTTAAAAACAGTAATATTGTGAAATTTAAAAATCACAGTTATTTTGTTATAAAAGCTGAATTTTCAGCATCATTCATGTGACAGTGTCACATGATCTTTTAGAAATCATTCTAATATGATGATTTGATGCTTAATTATTATTGGTTTTTTATATATTAGGGCTGTCAAACGATTAATCGCGATTAATCGCATCCAAAATAAAAGTTTGTGTTTACATAATATATGTGGGTGTATTGTGTATAAATTTTGTGTGTGTATATATATATATATATATATATATATATATATAAATACACACACATGCATGTATATTTAGGAATATTAATTATATATAAAATATTTATATTTATATATAATACAAATTAAATATAAATCTGTGTACAGTGTATACATAAAAGTACACCCACTGAACACCCACATATTATGTAAACACAAACTTTTATTTTGGATGTGATTAATCACGATTAATCGCTTGACAGCCCTAATATATAAAAAATTGTATTTTTGTGGAAACCTTGTTAAAATGGAAAGTTTAAAAGAACAGGGTTTATAGAATAGAAATCTTTTGTATCATTATAAATCTCTTTATACTGTCACCACAGATCATTTAATTTTTTTAAATCATATTCTCAACCTTTTTTTTAATGTTAATGTATCACAGTTTAACAAAAAACATATTAAGCAAATTAAATATTAAATAAATAAAACATAAAGATATAACTTTTCAACATTGATGATAATAATAACAAGTGATTGCTGAGCACCAGATCATCAGCTTATTTTAATGTATTGTAGAATATTTGACAATGTCACTGTTTATTGTATTATTCATCAAATACCGTAAATGCAGCCTTAGTCAGCAGGGGAGACTTAATTATTTCATATTTTTGACTGGTAGTGTATACATTTATTTTGAACCTAAATATTTTTTAATTTCTCAGATGGACATGAAAGATTGTACTAAGAACTTCTCAAAAAAAAAAAAAAAAGCTTTTGCCTGAGATACAGGTGAAAATATCATGCAAAAGTTATAATTTTGATTATTATGACTTACAGCTAATGAAAACCCCACATTCAAAATCTCAGAAAATAAGAATATTACGTGAAATCAATGAAAAAAAGATTTAAAATGCAGAAATGTCGGCCCTCTGAAAAGTATAATCATTAGGGTTGGGTATCGTTTGAATTTGAACGATTCTGATTCCGATTCCGATTCCTTGTTTCGATTCCGGTTCCCAACGATTCTCGATTACGATTCTTTTAAGAGGCAGGGTCAAAAAAGTTTAGCTAACCTTGCTAACCAACGGTCTTTCTGAAGGAAATACTCCTTCTGTCACAAATACTCCTTCTGTCACAAATTTTGCATTTTGCCGAGATTTCGTTATTTTTAGAAAAGTGAAGCCACACTTTGGATCGCCGACGTAAGCTACTCATGTTCGACTCGCGCGGTTATGCCAACACTTCCGGTAGACGCTTCTTCGTTGGTGATGTTCAGCGGTTTCTTCTTCAGGTCGGCGGACTGTGAATATCGAAACTAGGAATCGAAATTTTAACTTTTGAACGATTCCGGGAAAAACGAAAAGTTCCAATCGATACTCGATTCTCGATACCCAAACCCTAATAATCATGCATATGTATAGTTATATATACCGAATACGTTAGTTTCACCTTTTAATTTGAATTACAGAAAAACATGAACCGTTGCACGATACTCTTTTTTTTTCGAATTTCACATGTAATCCTCCATAATTTGATTGGATGATTTTTTGTTAAGGATAATTTGAATGATTGGATGATCACTACAAAATCTCTTGTAAACTATAAATAAAGCGGTTATTACTTTCTGCAAGTCAAAATAGCTCACCTGTAGTTGCATACTTTTACATTTATTAATTTAGCTGACACTTTTATCCAAAGCGACTTACAATTTCTATATATGTCAGAGGTCGCACGCCTCTGGAGCAACTAGGGGTTAAGTGTTTTGCTCAGGGTCACATTGGTGTCTCACAGTGGATTCGAACCCGGGTCTCTCACACCAAAGGCATGTGTCTTATCCACTGCGTCATCACCAGCCCTATATTGCACCAGACAGTTTTGAGTGCTGAATGCATTTATCCGTTTTATTATTGTTGTATTCAGAAGGAAAAGATTACGTCCCATCCTCCGCTGAAGAAACTCAAATCTCTGAATGATCTGGATCAGGCCAATGATGATCAAGAGATCGAGTTCCTGAAGCTGCAGGTTCTAGAGCAGCAGAGCATGATCGACGAGCTGACGCGAGTGAGTACTTCCTGTGAACGTGAGGCAGAACTCATACAGGTGAGCGCTGAACATCCACGCATCACATCTTTCTTATCCTCCATGTTTCAGGATAGAGAAAAACTCTTGAGAAAGAAGAGGCATAAACGAAGCAGACCTATAAAGGTGAAGTGTGTCCACTTTCAAAACATTGCAGTCTGTCTTTTAACTTTCGCCGCAACCAGTGACACTGGGACTATGATAAAGTAAAGTAAAGTCCATCTTGTCGTTCCCCATGCAGAGGCATATTGTTGTAGACACATTCTACGGGTACGATGAAGAGTCGATGGATTCGGAGACTTCCTCAGTGGCTTCTCTGCGGATGGATCGAACCCCGGCTACACCAGATGAAGATTTAGATGAGGTGAGCATTTAAGAACATTAAAGGTGCATTGTGTAATATTTAGGAGGATCTGTTCAAGGTTATAATCGTTAACGAAAACTAACGAAAAAACGAAAACTAGATGGGAAAAAACATTGTCGTTAACTGAAATAAAAATAAAAACGAGCCATTACAAAAAAAACTATAACTAACTAAAACTGTAATGTCTGTTTGCAAAACTAACTAAAATAAAATAAAATTATAGAGCAAATGTCCTTAGTTTTCGTCTTTGTTAATGCCGTTAATTTTAACGTTATTTAAAACACGCAGTGTATTTGTTCAACTGCATTTCATTTCCCTGTAACGCTCTCTCTCCGTCTATCTCACATGCACCCGCGCGCACACACACACCTACACACACAGCCCCTCCCCCTCCATGCAGTACACACCGCGTCTCCGTGAAAACGAGCCAACGAGGGTTCGATCAATGTTGAAAGCAAGTTTGTGAAAGGTTGGTATCTCATCATGAACATCTTTACACAATCACACATTAAAAGGTGGTGTACAAATATTATAAATTCTTAATACAATTCTGTCAGTGTGTTAATGTCGACCCGAGAAGCGATTGAGCCTTCGTTAGAAAAAGTTAACTGACTTAGTCGCAATTTTGAGGTAAAATGCTGCTGGGTTGTCGATGTCAAAACTCTATAAGCTCTGATTCAAATATTAAATAATGTTATGTCATTATTCTACTCGGTAACACTTTATTTCGATAGTCCACTTTAGACATTCAACTGACTATAAGTAACTTGTCTACTACAAGTAAACTTATTCTCCTAACCCAAATCCTAACAATAACCATAATCTAACAGTCTACTGACAGTCTACTATAATATACTAATACTCTAATGAGAGTTGCTTGAAATGTAGTTGAAAAGTTACTTATAATTAGTAGAATGTCTACACCGCGTTCCAAATTATTATGCAAATTGGAAATAAGTGTCATAAAAATGTAATATTTAGTTTTATAATCAAACTCATGGATAGTATTGTGTCTCCAAGTTCTTTGGATCACGGAAAAAAATCTCAGACACCTGTGATAAGTAGTTTGCAAGGTGAGCCCAATTAAAGGAAAACTACTTAAGAAGGATGTTCCACATTATTAAGCAGGCCACAGGTTTCAAGCAATATGGGACAGAAAAAGGATCTCTTTGTTGCGGAAAAGAGTTAAATAGTGCAGTGCCTTGGACAAGGTATGAAAACTTTAGATAGTTCACGAAAATGTAAGCATGATCAATGTACTGTGAAGAGATTTGTGGCTGATTCAGAGTACAGATGGGTTTGTACAGAAAAAGGCATAATGAGGAAGGTTACTGCCAGACAAATGCATCGGATTTAGGAGAGCACTGCTATAATGCCATTACAAAGCAGCAAACAGGTATTTGAAGATGCTGGGGCCTCTGGAGTCCCGCAAACCTCAAGGTGTAGCATCCTCCAGGGCTTGCAGTTGTACATAAACCTACTATTCTGCCACCCCTAACCAATGCTTACAAGCCGAAACGTTGCAGTGGGCCCAGAAATACATGAAGACTAATTTTTAAATAGTCTTGCTTACTGATGAGTGCCGTGCAACCCTGGATGGCGCAGATGGATGGAGTAGTGGATGGTTGGTGGATGGCCACCATGTCCCAATAAGGCTGCGACGTCAGCAAGGAGGAGGCGGAGTCATGTTTTGGGTCGGAATCATGGGGAGAGAGCTGGTAGGTCCCTTTAGCGTCCCTGAAGGTGTGAAAATGCCCTCTGCAATGCATCCAGAGTTTCTGACTTTCTTCTTCTCACTTTCTTCCATGGTACAAAAAGAAGAACCATGCCTTCCGTAGCAAAATTATTGTCATTCATGACAATGCACCATCTCATGCAGCAAAAAATAATTCTGTGTTATTGGCTGCTATGGGCAAAAAAGGAGATAAACTCTTGGAGTGGCCCCCACACTGACCTCAACCCTATTGAGAACCTTTGGAGCATCCTCAAGCAAAAGACCTCTGGAAGGCTATTCTGACATCGTGAAAAGATTTTCAAGCAGAAATCTCCATAAACTCCCAACTTCAATGGATACAGGAATTGTGAAGGTCATATCAAAGGAGGGGTCCAAGGTTAACATGTAACTTGCCCTGTTAAGATGAGTTTGATTGAAATAGCTTTTGATTTCATTACATTTGACCTCCTAATGCTGCAAATTCATCCTATTACCATTTTCAGTTCTTTACAACCAATAAAATGTTTTCAAACTCTTTTGTGCATAATAATTTGGAACAGTGCATTTTGAGTTTTTTATTTTTTCAAAAAATACTGTTTTCGTTGGGTGTTTTGTTCTATGAAATTCAACTTATACCCTAGTGGTTGGTGACTGGAAAATTATACTGACTGTCATTTGCATTGACTATTTAGGAAAATCAGTGTAAAATATCATTTGCATAATAATTTGGAACGCGGTGTAAAGTGATCGAAATAAAGTGTAACCGAAATTGTAAAGCTGTGGGATTTTTATATAGAAAATATGTAGATTGTTGGTACAGTAAAGGAATTTCACATTGTAGGCTATACGTTTGGTTTTAATGTTGAATAGATATTTCTAAAAATGTATGTTTGTGTTGAGTTATTATTACACAATTCTTTTTCTGACCTTTTCAACCTTGCCCCTGACAAATAACCCAAATTACAAAAAAAAACTAAAACTAACACTAAAACTAATAAAAACTAAACTAAAACTAAGCATTTTCAAAAAATAGAAACTAAACTAAACTAGTAAACCCACTTTTAAAACTAATTAAAACTAAACTGAATTTGAAAACAAAAATTCAAAACGAAATAAAAATAAAAACTAATGAAAAATGCAAAACTATAATAACCTAGAAATGCAATATCATATACATAACTACGTTTTCAGTGGCGTATAATGAACCGTTATGTTTGGATTACCTCAGAATGAGCCGTTTTTATCTACACAAAACCGCGGGTCTCCTTACTGTGTGTTCACACCGGACGCGAATAGTAACAGAATATCTAGAATAGAATAATCTACCGCGTCTAGTTTGACGCTTGACCACTTTGTGTTAATTCGCGCGTCAAGAGTGAAACTGACGCGCGTAAAAACAAAAGTTCAAAGCAAAATTTACGCGCGTCAGTTTCACGTGCGAATTAACACTAAGTGGTCATTTATAGAATAGAATAGAATTATTCTATTCTAGATACTCTGTTACTATTCGTGTCCGGTGTGAACACACAGTAAGGAGACCCGCGGTGTGTGTAGATAAAAACGGCTCATTCTGAGATAATCCAAACATAACGCGTCAAGAGTGAAACTGACGCGCGTAAAAACAAAATTTCGAAGTGAAATTTACGCGCATCAGTTTCACTCTTGATACACGCGCAAATTAACACAAAGTGGTCAAGCGTCAAACTAGATGTCACGCGCGTCGGAATCGAAACCCATTGGCGGCCATCTTTTTGGCCGTCATCAGTACTTCCGGCTGTTTGATGACCTGTTGTCCCGCATCGGATCACCCTCGCCCTCATCCACCTAATCCGTCATTTGTTTTTGTTTTGATGATAAATAGAGCCAGCCTCCAAAATTTATTATTATTGTTATTTCAGATAATCTAGATATGGAATAAATAACATTCAATACAAAATAATGAACATGTCTCGTATATTGAAATAAAGTTTTAAGTGATAAAATGTTTGCGTTGTTGAGCATTAGAACCACACCAGGCATTTAGTCATATCACAAAATAGCTTATTGAAGCATCCAGACACTTCACCACGTGAGCAAGCAGCTAGGCTCCTGATTGGTTAACATGGCGCAAATGGACGCCAAAGTTCAGATTTTTCAATTTGGGCGGCAGACGCGAATTCACGTCAAACGCGTGAATGCACAAATAGCACTAACTAAATCATTCGTGCTTAACGCGCCAGATGCTCAATTCACGGCATTCGCGCGAACTTGACGAAACCTTTGGATGACTTTAAGGATGAAATCTACGCAAAGTTTTATACATGAGGCCCCTGGTCATTTGTATGTGCTTCATGAAATTTTTTTGTGGTTTTACTTGAGATGACGTAAAAGGAGCGAGCAAAGATTAGTATAACCAATGTTCCTCACATGTGCAGATTGATATTTAAACGTTTTATATTTTTTCTTTTTCACTGTAACGTTTAGATATTTAAATGGAATAAAACGCCAATAACAAAGTGAACTAGGTAGATTCGCTGATTACCTTAAAAATCCATACATATCGTAGTCAGTTCTTACGCCCGTAAACACTTCCTCTGAGACCTGTTTTCTGCTTTGGTCACGTGACGCTCGCCATAAAGCCTATTCACAACCTCACCACTAGATGCGGCTAAAAATTACACACTGCACCTTTAACTCACTCATTTCTCACTAAGGGTTCCTGCGTTTACCTCGACGACTTCTCTATGGTGTGTTTTGTATTATTGTGCATTTCCAAAACCAAATCATGGGTCTGGGCCGACACTATGTTGCTGTCTGGGTTATTCCGCCTACTCATTATTGTGTGTTACTTCTCATGCTCTCTTTATTAGGGTCTGGCGGCGGAAGAGTCAGAATTGCGGTTCAAGCAGTTGACGCGGGAGTATCAGGCTCTTCAGAGAGCATACGCCCTGTTACAGGAGCAGAAAGGAGGGCTGCTGGATGCTGAAATGGAGGCCAAGGTATTCCTGAACTATTGTCTGGCTTGTAATGAACAGCTTGGGTAAAAGACATGACACTGTTTTTCTTTGTTTTGTTTTGGCCTGATAAAAATGCAATGCAATCATACAGTAAAACAGTAACAATACACCTCTTCTATGATCACAATTTCTGAGTGAAACCATATTAAAGAGCCCCTATCATGGATTTTTGAAAATGACTGTTCATGTGGTGTGGAATATACTGTACGTAGCTCTAAGGGAATGAAAACATCCTGCAAAGATTTATATCTGAAAGTGCACCGTATATAAAGTTATTGTCTTTCAAAAATGAGATTCGACTCTGAGTCTATGAAATGAATTGTTTTTGAAACGAGTCATTAGCTGTTACATCGAAAGGGGAGGTTATTCCTTTCATAATCCAATCGAGAGAAGAGAACAAAACACTTGATCGAATTGAAAACTGAAACTGAAAGCACTGCGCATATGTGCAATGAAGTGCAAAACGAGCTCCGTAGACAGTAAACGAGCTCCCCCCGGCCCTGAATTGTCGAAAAAAACACTCAAAATGCTGGCTGTGGATGCGAAAAACGCAGAAAATCTAACCCGATCCGAATTTTTTTATGACGGACGAAAGTTTCGGAGGCGGTGTGCAAGCGTGATTGACATAACTCGAGGTCAAATTTTTTTTTAACGTGCTTAAATTTCAGAAGCGAATTTCAGACTCAGTGTGCAATGGCCTAGAGTTCATAGTTCATAGAGTGATCAGGTTCGTCCTCCGAATCACAATCTGTAAGTAAAATTAATAATGTTTGCTGTTATGTTTTCTGTAGCATGCACAATATAGTTATGTTGTGTTGTGTGTGTTGTGTACTTTCCGCGCAGCTTCTAAGCGGGGTAAAGTTAGTTTTGTTTTTGACCAGACATTCATTGAAAAATGGCAATTACCTCCTAAACGACTTAGCCAAATATGACTTCGCTCTATATAATAAGCACTGCCCCTCAAAAGCCGCCGCAATGTGAGTTTCGCCGGGAAAGCTCGCTCTTGACGGAGACGCGAGTAAGGGACCGTGTGAAAGTGCACTTTTTCTGACACGTTTGTTCAAACATTATATACAATTTTCAACACTTGACAAGCTATAATCCTGGTTATGGGTGTCCCATTGCCGACAGTCTCTGCCTACGGTTTACCAATAACAACTGACTGGGTCATTTGACCAATCGCCACACATTCGCGTCACTCAAAGGAGGTGTTTGGGAAAATGAATCGTCGAACGAATCATTTGGGAGTCGTTGAGCAAATCAGTTAAAAATAAATGCATATTATAAGACAAATAAAGTGTTTTTTATCCTTGCATGCACGTTAAACTGTTTTTGGGAACTCCTAAAACAATTTCAAATGCTATGATAGGGGCTCTTTAAATTTTAAAATGAAAACCTTAAAGGATTAGTTCACTTTTAAAAAAAACTCTTGCTGATAATTTACTCACCCCCATGTCATCCAAGATGTCCATGTCATTCTTTCTTCAGTCGAAAAGAAATGAAGGTTTTTGATGAAAACATTCCAGGATTTTTCTCCATATAATGGACTTCAATGGGAACCAAACGGTTCAAGGTCCAAAAGAGAGTTTCAGTGCAAACTGTTCAAAGGGCTTTAAACGATTCCAGATGATGAATAAGGGTCAGATATGAAAACCCCAAATTAAAGATTACAGATTTTTTGAAACCCTCATTAGAAAACCCTAAAAACAAAATTAAACCAATTTTTTTTTGCTTGAAATTATAATAAACATCCAGCTGTGGATGAGCTTCTGAAAGGTCATGTGTTCAAAAGAACACATTGCTGTTACATTGAACCTATATAGTGTGCACATCGCTGTTGTATTTCATAGTTATTTTCTCTTTGTAGGCGCAAGAGCAGCTCCAGGCAGAGTCTCAGAGGTATAAGGCTAAAATCGAAGACCTGGAAAAAGAGCTTGCTGTAAAAGGACAGGTAAAAGTCTTTTACTACTATTCATTCTTTGCACGTGACGTCACGAATACTGGCTTTGCGGACAAGAATGTCGTTCTCTAGCAAACGAAACCCAGTAAACTAATCAAGGATTAGCAAAGCAACTAATCAAACACCGAAAATTCGGTGTTTTGTGGTGTAAACAACATGCCAGATAGTTGTTGTGTGATTGGATGCACTCAATCGTGTAATCTTAACATAAATGTGCTGACACGTTCACCAGTAGGTGGCGATAACGTGTTCATCTGTACGTGATTTGATTTGATATGATATGAGAAGATGAATACATGGAGAATGAATGACACCTTACTGTTGTACTGCGTCTACTTATTACTTAAAGTTACTTTAGCATGCATACTTGCAATTAAGAAATCAATATCCAGGGTGGTATTTATCTTGCCGAGTGATTCTCCATACTTGCAAACTGATTTGTATTGGGTAACAGTATGGCATAGGGATGACCAACACAGGTATGGCTAATTCCCAAATAATTTCCTCTTTTACTCACAGGACTCCAGATGGGTGGAGGACAAGCAGCGGTTCCTCAGGCGTAATCAAGAGCTGCTGGAGAAGGTGTGTGTGTGTACACGCTGTCTTCTCAAGACTAACCGCATTTTATATTTCAAAACCCTTTCATAGACCCACAAAAGATCTTACATGTTTTAACCCCTCTAGAATATAAAAAAATAAAGTCTTAGCTGTTTTTGATTGATGATAACGACGAAGACAAGGATAATGACGTTGAAATTTCTGAATCAGTGTTCATGAAAGCTCCGGTTCAGGATCATAGACATATAGACAGAAAGATAAATCCCACAGAATGTGGAGTCCTTGTACAAAAATAATCACATTAGGAAAATGACTACATCAACCAGTAAACATTTAGTCCATATAAGAAAATGAGACAAGTGAAGCCAAATTTTAGCGTTTTTTTAGGACTGAAAAATATTATAAAAAAAGATTTCTATTTCAAGCAAATTCTGCTGTCCATTTGAAATTTCTATTCAACACTTATATACTGTATACAGAGACTGAGAGGTTCGTTGGGCTCCAAAAATCCATTTGTAAAAAGCACATTCAATGAAAAGCCTTGTAATGTTTCTTTGACAGGTTGAGAAGTGGGATAATGAAAACGGAAAGCTTCAGCAGGAACTACAGGACTCAAGAGATCAGAATGAACTACTGGAGTTTCGCATACTTGAGCTGGAGGTTTGAGCTCTTTCTCTGTCCACAAATCAGTTGCACCAGCCGTTCATGTGGCCTTACTTAAAGGGGACCTATTATTCAGCTTTTATAAGGCTCAATAGTGTGTGTGTGAAGTTTCAGCTCAAAATACCCCACAGATCATTTATTATAACATGTTGCCCCAATTTTGAGTGGAAGGACAAACATGCTGTTCTCGTGCATGTCTCTTTAAATGCAAATGAGCTGCTGCTCCGCCCCCGTTCCAGAAGAGGGCGGAGGGAGCCTGTACAGCTAGTGCCTTGGATACCATAGATATATACACTAGACGTTGCCTTGGAACGAATGCATCAAAAGAGCTGCCATCTTGAAACAGGGGAGCCCCTCCACTTTAATAGACCATTTCACAAGATGTAAACAACACTGGTCCAGAAGCATTTCCTGTTTCAGTTTGTAACTGTTTTCTTTATTTCACATGTAAAGAAAACATCTTAAAGATGTTTGTTTAACTTTTTGATTCAGTTTTAAATGTTCTGTTGGTTCTATTTTATCCCAGCTTTTATGTAGTGTTAAAAAACTGAAACAGGAAGTGCCTCTGGACCAGTGTTGTTTACATCTTGTGAAAAGGTCTAACGGAAATAAAATCACCATAAATCATCATGAATGCGATTTTCTCGTTTTTTTTTTTTTGTTTGTTTGTTTGGTTCATTCCTGAACGGCTCATTTTGAGACACTGTTTCAGATTTATGAGGAAAGTGACAGAGTGAATGGATTTTTTACCATGCGGACGCATAAATACGTTCAAAATAGGGATGGGCAACGATTAATCGCAATTAATCACATCCAAAATAAAAGTTTGTGTTTACTAATAAAACACAATAAAATAAAAAAATTTTAATAAAATTTGTTATTATTTTATCAAATATTTCTATTTTTATATAATATCAAATACGGTATATACATGCAAATATTTCTTAAATATATATAGATATATATGCACGTGTGTGTATTTATATATACAAATTAATTATACACACTATACACACATCTATTATGTAAACATAAACTTTTATTTTGGATGCGATTAATCGCGATTAATCGTCGCCCATCCCTAGTTCAAAAACAATATAAAAGTACATTTTGCATAATCGGTCCCCTTTAAACTGCGACATGAAACACATACTTGTAACTACAAGTTTGTTAGTAACTCAGAATTTAATTTGTTCTTAAGGAATTTTTTTTTTATCAAGGAGGTCGTAGTTTTGTTGTAATCATTACTCCTGGTTATTGGAGGCCTTTGTACAGTGTCCTTTAGATGGTGGTGTTCAAATCTGGCTTTTCCAACCTCCCACTGCCATTTTGACCAAGGGGGTCCAATGAAATATAGTGTACATGTTTATTGGATGCATGGATGCATCCACCTAGTGGTGGGAGTACAGAAATGCAACAGCCTTCTGTGATTGTGAGACATTAGACTGCTGTGAGTGTGTAACGTGTGTTCGATGTAATCTGTCAGGAGCGTGAGAGGAGATCGCCTCCGTTTAGCCTTCAAATCCATCCTTTCTCTGAGGGAGTGAGCGCACTACAGATCTACTGTATAAAGGAGGGAGTAAAGGTAAGTATGAATTCATGAACTGACACTTTGCTTTTAATAACAGGAAGAACTCATCATGAGCCTGTTCTGCTCTCATCTTCTCTCAACAGGACGTGTGTATACCAGACCTCATCAAGCTGTTGGATATACTCGGGGATAACGGGGTACGTCACACACACAACGCAACTGTTTTCTTTCTGTCATAGGCTAGGTTATTAGCAGTTGTAGCGTTAATGGACAGTGTGTGTTTCTGGCTTCACACAGAACTTGAGGAACGAGGAGCAGGTGGCCATTATTCAAGCGAGTACTGTGCTGTCTCTCGCCGAGAAGGTACGCTCTCAGGTTATCTAAGCACCAAAAACAGACTGTCATTATAGATACTTTTACTTTTCTCAATCTGTTAGTAAAGGACAATAATAACACTGGTCTACAGACACAATGTCAAACTTTACTAATTCGAAATAAAAACAATGCTTAAGATTGTTGATTGGCTCTAGTTTTCAAGATATGCTATTGGGTCGGTTTACGACCCTTGACTTAGGAATGGAGGATAAAAAAGGGGAATATTAATAGGGAAATGACTAGTCAGAAATGACTAAAATACATCTTTGAATATAAATCTATGACTGGACAGTACTTTTTTGAGGCAAAACAATGAATGATGCAATCTGAAGCATTGTGTTAATCCCATGTAAACACTTAGCCAATCAGTTGGTTTAATTGTTATATTATAATTCAGCACATTAAAATACATAATAGATAGCACAATCTTATTTCTGAAGCAGACGACTTGTTAAATATTGTAGAGCGGTGTAATGATCTGCAATGTGTGTGGTTTAGTGGATTCAGCAGATTGAAGGAACAGAAGCAGCTCTGCATCAGAAGATGATGGACCTGGAGATCGAGATGGTACAAAAAAACAACTCTTATCTTAACACATTACTTGTTTTATGTACAGTACACATTTTAGAATAATTCAAAATAACAAGAATTGTGATTTGTTTACCCATGTATGCCACTTTACTATCCACTTTAAATCATCAATTTATAAATAAAAATATTATACAATTTTAGAAAAGGTAGCTGATTAACAGTGGCTTCGCTCCGTCCTCGCGGCTCTCGGCCCCGCCCGGCTTGACACACAGTTTTTAAATACAAAGCCAGTTTCTAACATTTAGACATATGCCTTCAGATTAAAAGTAATGTAAATGTTCAGTACAGTGAAGTGTACAGTACAAATATTTTTTAATATGCAATTTTAACGAATTCCTCTGTTTTTAAAAATACATACAAATAATAATAATAAAAAGGTTTAACATTTACGAACTAAGCAAAATAGGTTTGCAGATTTATATTTGCCTTAGTCTCAGACCACTCAGATATATGTGTATCTTGGGACTGGGAGTTCAAGACTCAACTTGTATAAAAGATAAATGTAAAATCATTGTTATTCTTTCGCAAACAGTCGTTTTTTGGTGAACTAAATTTTAGGATAATACTTAGGGGTTGCATTATATGTAAGTTGTTGAATTAAAAGCGCTGTATAAATGAAGATAACTTGACTATGTAACGGGTCGATCAGTTTAATTAAGTGATTAAATTTGGCACACTAATGTTTTAATGGCACCATATAATGATGCTTATGAAAGCTCTGACGGTTGACTTGCAGGAGATGTTCTGCAAACAAAAGGGATATCTGGAGGAGGAACTGGACTACAGGAAGCAGGCGCTGGACCAGGCTTATATGGTAAAATACGGATCCATTTTCAGGCGTTTCTTCCTTTTATGAGCTTCAGCGACACTTAGATTTTCATTATAGTGCCATGAAAGGTTTGTCTTATTAAAATTCGCATGGACCAGTTCAATTTACCAGGAGCCACCAACGTTTTCTTTGTTCCAGAGTTTATTTTGGCACTATATTTTCTGCATTTGGTGCTTTAAACCATAAATCATCACCAATAATTATTTGATTTTAAACAAAAAAGTAAAAATATGGTCGCACTTTACATTGTGTCTTTAAATACAATGTATTAATTGAACATTCGAATGAATCATTTGATAGACTGCACTTAATAGAGAGCCTAAGTCCCGCCCCTCCGCTTCCGGCTCATGGGACCTTATTTCGGAAAAAATATGAATGGTAGTCAATGGCGAGAGACAACTTTTTATCTTTTTATTCCGTCTGAGCTGTGCCCTGAATTACACATATGATGTTTGTCAATTTAAAAGATAATTCTGAAGGTCAAAAACGTCGCAGTTTGTTATAAAACAAAAGAGTAACTTTTAGTTTTATGTGAAAATCGCTCTATGAACTACATCTCCCAGGAAGCGAAACAGAGCGAGATCCGCTGCTCGTGTGTGTGCAGTCTGGTACAAAACACTCAGGCATGACGGCGTAACGTTACGATTATAACGTAAGACTATAGAAACAATGACAGACGTTAGCCTCAGTAAAGTTAGCTTCATTCATTGAGAGAAAATGTGCACCTTTGGGATTTGTAGTCTTTGTAATTACGTATTTTCACAGTCTTATAACTCAACGGTTTTACATCAAACTGTGACTTTCTTTAAAAATGTGTCTTTTAAATTGACAAACATGATACGTGTAATTCAGGGCACAATTCAAACGAGATCAAAATATTTGTAGTCTCTCGCCATTGACTACCATACAATATTTTTCCGAAATAAGGTCCCATGGTGGTCGACCGGAAGGGGAGGGACTTAGGCTCTCTATATGTCCATACATTTTTTTTTTTACATTGTTCACACCTTACCGTCGCAATCTAACTGTACGTGTGTGTGTGTGTGCAACAGCAAATCCAGGAGTTGGAGGCTACTCTGTACAACGCTTTGCAACAGGATAAAGTGATCAAATACGGAGAGCCTCTGGACGAGCTGCAGAAGGACGAGTTGCGCTCGGCCGTGGAGAGACTGCGCAGACAGATGCTGCGAAAGAGCCGAGAGTACGACTGTCAGGTTCTGCAGGAGCGGATGGAGCTGCTCCATCAGGCCCATCAGGTACTGCGCACAACACACAACACACAGCACACATCCTTTTGAAACTCAGCTCATACGTTTAAATGCATGTGCCATACTTTCAAAGACACAGGCCACATAATCCTCATGTTGAAAACATAATCATTTTAAGTTTATCATATTAAGTAATCATATCAAGTTTTTTTCTTTTCTTAAAATTTGTAAGGACTGGAGGAAAATCTAGGAGATCCAGTTGCTCTGTGATGTGGTTGAGGGCATTTTGCTGGCATGGCTAAATGTATGTATCAAATATGATACATCAGGCTTTTGAGGAATGTTTATTTGCACATCCCTCAATCGTCACTGTATTCATGATCTGCTATTCATTTTTAAAGGGATGTTTTACTCATGTATGTTGTGTGGGACTTAAGCGGCACCTGTTTTGTAGCATGACCCGCTAATTATAATAAATGAGTACAGACAACATGAAAGTCATGACGTGATCCACTGAACACCCACAGGATCCTAAATCTGCTACAGAATACATGTTCAATAAGAGTCGGAAACTATTCACCTAGTCAGATGTGTGCCGTTGCTTCGTTACTGATATAAACAGTGACATTTCAGCATCGTATAAATGATTCTACGGACTTTTCAAGGAACAAGGTTACAACTTTACTACAACAAAACCTTAGCGAGAGATCATCGTGAAAACGGTCCCTCAGAGGTTTTTAGTTCATTTTGATTCAAAGATGGCCAAAAGTGACGATGACTAGTTCCAGTTTGACTATTCAGTCGATTTATAAACTGATTTTGGAAACATTAGAGGGCCATCAAACAATAAACAAAGGGAAATATCACTGCAGTGAAACAACAGTATAAAAGACTGTTAATGTGTGTCTCATACTTGTTTAAAGGGATACTTCACCTCTGGAAAGATGAATGTGTATTTAAAATGGGTCATTTATGTAGAAGAAATGTGAAATTATTTTTGAATTTGGAGCTTTCTAGACTGAGAAAAGCCAGAAAATGTTTTTTTTTTTTTTTTGGATGAAAGACAACAACTCCCAGAGTGCCCTAGGAGGCCACGCCTATCGGTAACAGAGCGCAGTAGTTAAACTACAAGTAGTGCGATAGCAGTTATATACAGAAGAGGGCAGCAAATTATCAGGAAATAGCAAATCTAATACCAAAGCATATAGTAAAACCCACATCGTTTTGTTCTTTTCAGTTGTGCATTCACTTTTGGGCCGCGCTGTGTGTATATTATTGAGCGCTGTGATAATGTACTGTGATCACGGACCTCAGCGAGAACATAGTGAAGATAATCACACTGAAATGAGTGTTTCTCTCAACACAGAGGATCAGAGACCTGGAAGATAAGACTGACATCCAGAGGAGACAGATTAAAGATCTAGAGGAGAAGGTAAGACGGATTTATTGTTGTTGTCTGGCTGTCGGACTAACGATTTACAGAAGATGATCTGTCAGAATGATGTTGATGTTGCTCATTTTCCTATTCTGGCTGAAACCTTAACTAATACTTCTTTCTTTCTTTCAGTTTCTATTTCTCTTTTTATTCTTCTCTCTTGCCTTTATTCTTTGGCCTTGATGTCTGTGACATCTCCTGCAGAGGTGAGTGTACAATCTTTTCTTTTAGAAAGTGTTTAGAGGAGATTTTAGAAAGTTTTAGACTCTGACTGAGACTAAACTATTGCATTAAGGGTTTGTGAGTCACCGATACTGCGGAGAGCATTACATGAATCATGACATTTATTTATTGAGTATTGAAAGGGAACTACTGCAGTTTACTTATTTGCCAGCAGTTACTTGCACACTGGTATTTCAGCATCTATATTTTCTTTAACTGCTCTGTTCTGTGGTTCTGTTCATGTGTTGGTCAAAAAATACTGTTTTTTATTTCAATTAAATGATTGTACTATATTTTATTTTGATTAGGTTTTTTTTTTTTATATTTTGTATTTTTAGGGGATTTTTTATGGTAATAAATTATATTTATGCAATACTCATAATCCATGTATTCACTTTCTGAGCATGGACCTGAAAATTTAATTTCTAACTGAAACGGACGAGCATTGACTGAAGTTAGGTCTTTTTTTATGCAAGCTTGTTTCCGCCACTGAATAAATAAATTAATAGAAAATTGCAATTCTAAGGGGGAAAAAAGACTAACTCCTTTTCCCCTCAAATAGTTTATATCTCACAATTCGGACTTTATATCTCGCAATTTCGAATTTATATCGATCAATTCTGACTTTATAACATGCAATTGCTACTTTATATCTCGCAATTCTGACTTTATATCTCGCAATTCTGAATTTATATCTCACAATTCTGACTTTATATCTCACAATTCTGACTTTATATCTCACAATTCTGACTTTATATCTCACAATTCTGACTTTATATCGATCAATTCTGACTTTATATCTCGCAATTGCGACTTTATATCTCGCAATTCTGACTTTATATTTCACGCAATTTTGACTATATTTCGCAATTGTGACTATCTCACAATTCTGACTTTATATCTCGCAATTGTGACTTTATATCTCGCAATTGTGACTTTATATCTCGCAATTGTGACTATTTATCTCGCAATTCTGACTTTATATCTCTCAATTCTGACTTTATATCTGGCAATTCTGACTTTATATATCGCAATTCTGGCTATATATCTCACAATTCTGACTTTATATCTCGCAATTCTGACTATATCACGCAATTCTGACTTTATATCACGCAATTGTGACAATATATCTCGCAATTATACCTATATGTCTCGCAATTCTGACTTTATATCACGCAATTCTGACTTTATATTACGCAATTGTGGCTATATATCTCACAATTACGCAATTGTGACTATATATATCGTAATTTTGACTTTATATCTAGCAATTGTGACTTTATATCTCTCAATTCTGACTTTATATCTGGCAATTCTGACTTTATATCACGCAATTCTGGCTATATATCTCACAATTCTGACTTTATATCTCGCAATTGTGACTTTATATCTTGCAATTGTGACTATATTTCGCAATTGTGACTATTTATCTCGCAATTCTGACTTTATATCTCTCAATTCTGACTTTATATCTGGCAATTCTGACTTTATATATCGCAATTCTGGCTATATATCTCACAATTCTGACTTTATATCTCGCAATTCTGACTATCACGCAATTCTGACTTTATATCACGCAATTGTGACTATATATCTCGCAATTATACCTATATGTCTCGCAATTCTGACTTTATATCACGCAATTCTGACTTTATATTACGCAATTGTGGCTATATATCTCACAATTACGCAATTGTGACTATATATATCGTAATTTTGACTTTATATCTAGCAATTGTGACTTTATATCTCTCAATTCTGACTTTATATCTGGCAATTCTGACTTTATATCACGCAATTCTGGCTATATATCTCACAATTCTGACTTTATATCTCGCAATTCTGACTATATCACGCAATTCTGACTTTATATCACGCAATTGTGACTATATATCTCGCAATTATACCTATATGTCTCGCAATTCTGACTTTATATCACGCAATTCTGACTTTATATTACGCAATTGTGGCTATATATCTCACAATTACGCAATTGTGACTATATATATCGTAATTTTGACTTTATATCTAGCAATTGTGACTTTATATCTCGCAATTGTGACTTTATATCACGCAATTGTGACTATATCTCTCAATTATACCTATATGTCTCGCAATTCTGACTTTATATCTCTCAATTCTGACTTTATATCACGCAATTCTGACTTTATATCACGCAATTGTGACTATATATCTCGCACTTAAACCTTTATGTCTCGCAATTCTGACTTTATATCACGCAATTCTGACTTTATATCTCGCAATTGTGACTTTATATCACGCAATTGTGACTATATATCTCGCACTTAAACCTTTATGTCTCGCAATTCTGACTTTATATCTCGCAATTCTGACTTTATATCTCGCAATTGTGACTTTATATCACACAATTGTGAATATATCTCGCAATTCTGACTTTATATCACGCAATTCTGACTTTATATCACGCAATTCTGACTTAATATCTCGCAATTGTGACTATATATCTCGTAATTTTGACTTTATGTATCGCAATTGTGACTTTATATCTCACAATTGTGCGGAAAAAAAAGTCAGAATTGTGAGATAAAAAGTCGCAATTACCTTTTTTATTTTTCATTCTGTGTCAGAAACAAGCTTCCATAATTTCTTAAGACGACACTTTAAGACGACACGGCAGATTTTTGCTGAAGTTAAAAAAGTTTAAAAAAGTGAACTTGAAAAAGTTACACATTTTGTTTGGCTGCAGTTCCAAACGCTTCCACTAGATGAAATAAGCTTCCCATTCATTTCCAACACAGTCACTTTTGACCGTGAACAATACAAGTGTGACTACTTTTGTCAGGACCATTTAATCATGTCCATGTTTTGTTGGTGTGTGTGAGTTCACACAGCAAGTGCCAAAACATTTACCAAATGTTGTACCATTCCGATGAAGTAAAAGAGTAATGGCCGAACAGCACCAGAGTATTAAATGATATTCCTATTATCCTGTTGGATCCTATTTGGATTCATTTGAAAAAGCACAATTAAACAACATATGAGTAATAACTGAAGCAATAGATGAGCTGCTGCTACTTTTGTTTACATGAACCCAAACAATGCATTCTTTTGACATCTTGTATCACATAACTTGATTAAATATATATATAAAATATTTGATAAAGAATTTACAAAATGACTGAAACAAACGTGGTATTTCTTTTTCACAATCGATTTTGTAATTGACAACTTGCACTGAATACAATTGTTCATTATCCTGTAGGATCTGAATGGTTCTGTTGAACTGATCCGAGTTTTTGTCTTTACGCACACAGGATTTGAAGCAACCTGGAGCTGTCGCATGCAACCGCAGTCGTCCGGGTGTTACGACTCAAGGTGTATTACTGGCTGTTTTGTTTTTGCTTGTGTAGAAGTGGGAAATTCAGAGTTACCGATGATGGATTTTATTGGGATTATCTGCACTGGATTTGATCAAACCTCTGTGGAGAACCAGGACAGAATGCTTGAAATCACACTTACAGATCAATACGAGCGTGACAAAAACACAATCATCAACCCAACTAGAGGATCATGGATTATCTCTGCCATGCAGGGACCCGCCATGACCGACTGCGACGTCTACCAACCACAACCCACAAAGCCCTTCCTTTCTTTCGTTCTCTCTCTGCCTATCTGTCTCTCCTGCCACACACACTTTGGGGAATGAAAAGTGAAATGGACGCCTTTGCAGGAGTAATGTGTGCTGACTCAGGGCCTGTTATTGAGGCGACTGTCGCATCTCTCTTGTCAGGATCCCTTAGGAGAGGTGTCTTCCTCACTGCCTGAAAACTGAACGGACAAAGAGACAGATTGAGAGAGAAAGCCAGACCGTCCACTACAAATCATCCACACTAGCAGTTTTTGTTTACCCCTAGAAAGTTGAGTAGACTGTCCAGTGGAGAAACTAACACTGAGCAGCCTGGTTTTTAATAGATTTCTTTTGTATTGTATCAGGCCTCATTCCTCCATCACAAGCAACAACGTTTTTTTTTTATGCAAATTATTCTTAAAAACTTGCGTATAGTTTACTGAACACTGTAAAAAGTGATCAGTTGACTTAACTTAAATAAATAAGTAAATAAACTTCATGCTTAATCAAGTCATTTGGAATATTTTTTTCAATTAAGCATTAAGTTTATTTATAATAATAAGGGAAAGGGTTTACTCCAATTTTTAAGTGAACTGAACACTTTCTACAGCGAACACAACTATTTTTTAATGTAAATTGTTGCACCGTGCAAGAAGCCATTTATAAATTATATAGTAACATGCAAAAGTTTATGAAATGGTTTCATCCGTTGTGATGAAATTGAAGTAGCGACAGATTTTTTCTTACATATTGTGACTGGAATTATTGAAATAGAAAATATGTAGTGCAGGGACTTGGTTTTAGGATGTGCGTAATGCGAGAAGTCCTGCATTCATCACCGAAATCCGGATGAATCGGTCACAATAAAATATTTAACATGCGATTTTTTTTATTTCATGCCGACTTTAAACTGTGTTATTCATGCCATTTTTAAAACTTTTTTTTACCTAAAACTTTTTTTTTACCCATATATTTTCCAACATGACATCATGACTTTTGCGTAAACATACACGCCACTTTCAAGTCAATTGGTGTGTTATCTATACGCATTTTGAGCTATCCGCGTGTATGCGTGTATGTCTACGCCGTTAAATGTCCGAGCGAAATGAAGCAAAATGTAGATCTACATCTGGGGAGCCATATTTTTTTTTCCTAGGATGGTAGAGCAAGACTCATAAATGGTATTAACCCCAGTGACGGGTAGGTTTACGGATGGGAAGTAGGTCATATATTTATACAGTAATGTAATGTTAAGTCATCTGCGTTCATAAACACGCTGAAAAGCAATTATGCGTGTTGATAGCACGCCAAAAATGGAAATACGAATTGGCGTGTCATACACGCGCTACTTCATGAGATCAGTCTGATATTTTCACACTATGCATACCAATCATACTGTAAGTACACAATCACAACAGTTTATGAAAGTTAAATGGCTTTTGTGTAAATTGTACCATGTAAAAATAAATCCTGAAACATTGCACTATGGGAATTTGCGGATTTACGCTAACAAAACCACTCTGTAGTAAATAGTCGCATCATTAAACAGCAATGGTCACACACTGACTGCTTTTACGAATGATTTGCACAGAAACTCATTCTGCTTGTGGTTCATGAATGAGGCCTGTTGACCACTAATATTCCATGTCTATGAAGATCAGCAGTTCCTCTTTCTGACTGCAGTGTAATATATATGTCTGTTGATATGTACATGTGTCTCTAATATATCCTCCTGATGTGAATACATTTCTCCTCCTGCAGCTTGAGCAGTTTATTCTTGCGATGTATATTGTGGTGACGGCTGCAGACGTGTTTCCGCCTTCCTCGATTGTCCCTGTATTTAATCATCTCTTCCCGGAGCCCAGTTCTTTTCTACTCTTTCAAACCAACAGCTGTAGCGTACCAGCAGGACTTTCACTAACTGGTTTGTACCGAATGATCTTTCTAACTCCCTTTAATTGGCTGTCTCGGGCTTGTAAATATGTTTTTGGGGCATTCTGTATACCAGGTTTGGCTTCATTTCATTAAAGTCTAATATCTCCTCAGAAATACGATAATCTCTCTTTTTTCACCTTTGGACACATTTTTTTATTAATATGCAAATATACAATTATGGCTTACAGCTTATGAAAACCTCAAATTAAAAAATAGACTATAGTGAAAAGGTTTTCATTAGCCATAATCAACAAAATGATAACAAATAAAGGTATGGAAAGCCAAATGGTTCACATTTCGCCACTTTCCAAACGCGTTTCATTCTCAAAACGCCGGTGTTTACGGCGTTTAACATGAAAAGACGCCGCAAATTACGGCGTATTGTGGTACAAACGGCGTAAATTACGGCGTTTACAAAGCAAATTCGCCGTCATTCTCGCCGTTTTTTAATCCAGCCAATGACGCCGTTTCTGACGCCGCAGGCCATCCACAGTGCGCCGTCAATTGCGGCGCTTCTGTCTGACAAAGACGGCGTAAAAAGCGGCGTTTTGTATAATATTATAATCAGCCCCACCCTTTTCTTCAAAGTTCAGCCCATCTAATGAAGTGACGTTTGGTGGAAAGACATATGTAGTAGATTGTCGATCTGAATAGCGATCCGTCTTTAAGGTTCTGTTTTTGGAATGTTATCCCGTCATATTTTTATTTCTTTATATTGTTTTACATGAATGTAAACAGAGGCTAAAATCATACTATATCTACATAGGCTACGATAAAGGAAATTTCCTTTATCGTGCTTTTTACAAAGCGATAGCCTACACGTGCCCAATGAAGAAATAAAAATATGACGGGATAACATTCCAAAAACAGAACCTTAAAGACGGATCGCTATTCAGATCGACAATCTACTACATATGTCTTTCCACCAAACGTCACTTCATTAGATGGGCTGAACTTTGAAGAAAAGGGTGGGGCTGATTATAATATTATACAAAACGCCGCTTTTTACGCCGTCTTTGTCAGACAGAAGCGCCGCAATTGACGGCGCACTGTGGATGGCCTGCGGCGTCAGAAACGGCGTCATTGGCTGGATTAAAAAACGGCGAGAATGACGGCGAATTTGCTTTGTAAACGCCGTAATTTACGCCGTTTGTACCACAATACGCCGTAATTTGCGGCGTCTTTTAGTGTTAAACGCCGTAAACACCGGCGTTTTGAGAATGAAACGCGTTTGGAAAGTGGCGAAATGTGAACCATTTGGCTATTATATCAACTTGCCACGCTACGCAGTCTGGCGTTCAGAAAAGAACAGTTTATTTTTAATACATGTGATATTGTGTTATCTATTCTCTCCTCTCCTCAACAAGCCTGGATCGATTCAGAGAATTTCAGAATCGAGTGTGAGCTTAGTTTTTAAACACAGATGCGTGATGACGCTGCGCGTGCTTTAGATTTAGAAACGAACCGTGTTCTGAATCTGCTTGCTTCTATTTTCTCGCTCTCTCGCTCTCTCTCTCCCTCATTCACTCACACACACACACACACACACACACACACACACGACACGACACCGCTCGAACCATCCAAAACATAGTAACGTTATTTCATAAAGTTCGGTTCGGGATTGAACGGAATTACAAGGACATTTGCGGGCTTCATTGAACAGGTTTTGCCGCTTTGCTTGATGTTATGTTACACTTGCAGTGCGCGTTCTCTCCCGCGGGAATTTTCCTTACAAATGCTTCAGCATTATTTATGTCTTTTGGAATGCAGTTGGCTTATATATTAAAACAATGAAAATCACTGAGAAGGCTGCTTTCATTTTAAAATACTAACACGTGCTTTGTGTAGCGCTCGTGCATGCGGCCGTGAGCGACTCATGGTTAAATGTACTTGGATGTCAAAATTCTTTTATGACGCGAAATTAATGTAAACACGGTCCGTTATATCTTAAACCAACAGGACAAACCACATTTACAATTTCAAAAGAGATATATGCATTAGTGTGACTGTGAATGCAGCTTATCATATCTAAACTGAGGGGAAATCACTCCAGCTCTTGAATGAAAAAAATTCAGACAGCCTACTTTTAAATACTGAGACCACTCTTTGTTTATTGCTTGTAATGTTTTTTTTTTGTTTCTCTTTATTTACTAGCTTTTATATTTTGAAGCTATATTATTTTATATAGCCTATTAAAAATTTTTGACATGTAATTGGTTTAATTAAATGTTTTTTTTATATTGATTTTTTAAAGTATGTGTTTTTACACATGTAATTAAATACATATTTTAAGAGTTATTAAGATTAATTAATAAGAAAAAAGTAGATCGGATCATGAGCTATCTAAAGATTCCCATCCCTACAATGATTTATTGCTTGTCTTTGTCGACTAATACAGAAGGTAAATAACTTTTTTTTTTTTAAATCGCATATTAAATCGCAATATTGGTTAAAAAAATCGCAATTAGATTATTTTCCAAAATCGTTCAGCCCTAATATAATATATTTGTTTCAAGTTGATTAGTGAACTTTTGCACGATATTCAAATTTCACCAATTTCACGAGTGTCACCTGTATATTACAGCTGCATTATTTTGCCTCCATATCGCCATCTCTGTTTGAAACAATCAACAACAATGTCCCATTTATAAGTCAGCCTAGATCCGGCCGGTACGTGTGGAATCCATGTGTACCAGATGTGGGCCGGATCTGGGCCGACACTATAGCGCTTTTCCACTGCTGGTACGGCTCAGTACGGTTCGGCTCGGCACGGCACGGTTCAGCTCGCTCTGCTTTTCCACTGCGCGATATGACTCGGCCTCGGCTCGGTTTGCTTTAGCTCGGTTTGCTTTTCAACTGCAGTTAGTACCGCTTCAAAGTGGGTCGGAACATAGTCTGACCGTTATAGTTTATCCGCTCTTCGGCAGCCAACGAGAGGAACGTCTGCACTTCTTCCACTGAAAACGATTCAGCCATTTCTTTTATGGAAGTCTTCTTTCTTTCTTTTTTCTTCAAGCCAATCAAGCAAGTAGTTTTAAAACTGATGCTACAACGGTGGCTGTAACTGGCTATTTAAATCTAGCGGGTTTGATGTCTTGCAACTACAATGACGCTGGTAGTGACGATTCTGTCTGACTGACCAATCAGTGGTCTGCAGTGTGTTCACGTCACATTTTTGTATCGGGACGGTACGCTTGGAACCTCGACAGAGGTGGTACCGAGCTGAGCCATACCTACCATGCAGTGGAAAAGCGCCACAAGTGAGCCGTACCGAGTCGAGCCGTACCGTACCATGCAGTGGAAAAGCGCCAAAGCGTGTCATATCGAGCCGAGCCGTACCGTACCATGCAGTGGAAAAGCGTCAAAGCGTGTCATACCGTACCGAGCCGTACCGTACCATGCAGTGGAAAAGCGCCAAAGCGTGTCGTACCGAGCCGAGCCGTACCGTACCATGCAGTGGAAAAGCGCCACAAGTGAGCCGTACCGTACCATGCAGTGGAAAAGCGCCAAAGCGTGTCATATCGAGCCGAGCCGTACCGTACCATGCAGTGGAAAAGCGTCAAAGCGTGTCGTACCGAGCCGAGCCGTACCGTACCATGCAGTGGAAAAGCGTCAATGGGTGTCATACCGCGCCGAGCCGTACCGTACCATGCAGTGGAAAAGCGTCAAAGCATGTCGTACCGAGCCGAGCCGTACCGAACCATGCAGTGGAAAAGCGTCAAAGCATGTCGTACCGAGCCGAGCCGTACCGTACCATGCAGTGGAAAAGCGTCAAAGCATGTCGTACCGAGCCGAGCCGTACCGTACCATGCAGTGGAAAAGCGTCAAAGCATGTCGTACCGAGCCGAGCCGTACCGTACCATGCAGTGGAAAAGCGTCAAAGCATGTCGTACCGAGCCGAGCCGTACCGTACCATGCAGTGGAAAAGCGCCACAAGTGAGCCGTACCGTACCATGCAGTGGAAAAGCGTCAAAGCATGTCGTACCGAGCCGAGC